CAAAAGATACAGCATGGCCAAGGCCTCCTATATCTTGGGACTTCGACTCTATAGAGATAGATCGAAGAGGATAATAGGAATATCCCAGTCTACTTACATTGACAAGATAGTCAAAAGATACCGCATAGAGAACTCCAAGAAGGGATTTGTCCCTTTCAAACATGGAGTCACTCTCTCCAAGGGTATGTCTCCCAGGACTCCTAAGGAGATTGAGGGCATGAAGAAAGTTCCCTATGCCTCAGCCGGAGGGAGCATCACGTATGCTATGTTGTGCACTCGGGCAGACATAGTTCAGGTCGTGAGTGTGGTAAGTAGATACCAATCAAACTCAGGACAAGAGCACTGGACAATTGTAAAGAACATACTCAAATACCTTCAAAGACAAAAGAGTTTGTCTAGTATTTGATGGTAGTTCACTACAGATCCTAAGGTATACCGATACTGAGTTCTAGTCAGACCCAGATGATAGAAAGACTACATCTGGTTACATCTTTATGATGGGCTCTTGTGCAGTTAGCTGGAAAAGCAGCAAACAAGGGTCCTGAGGCCAAGTACATTGCTGCAAGTGAAGCTGCCAAGGAAGCAATATGGATGAAGAAATCATTCACGAATTAGGATTGGTTCCATTTAACACATTACCCATTCCACTGTTGTGAGACAACATTGGAGCCATTGCTCAGGCTAAGGATCCAAGAGCGCACTCAAAGTCAAAGCACATCAAGAGGAAGTACCATGTATTGTGGGAGATTATTGGTAGAGGGGACGTCCAGATTCAGAAGGTAGCATTAGCAAAAAAATTAGCAAACCCATTGACAAAGCCTCAGAACAAGAAGTGTTTGAGAAATACGTGGACAATATGAGACTCCGGCTTGTACCCGATTGGACTTAAGTGCAAATGGGAGCTGTTAGACAGTGTATGCCCTTAGCTCCAATCAGATTGATGTACATTAGACATTTATTCTAAATGAATAAAAGTACATAATTGATTCATGTTATACTTGGTATGTTTCTGTGTAATCACCCTTAAATTGGACACTTATGAGACTCGTGTTAGTTTAGAATGTTCACAGCCATTGGATAGACCTGGGGAGGTTTATCTTGCCAAGGTTGAGACTAATACACTACCAAGTCGGTTGGGGTAGCTTGTCTCAGCTACCAGGGTTAGACTTGAAGCACATGTACTGTGTATGTTTGCTTGAAACACTGAACTCGAACCATTTTCCAGTTATGCCTTAGACCTTGGAGATCGGTGGGCAAAACTGGAAAGTTACATCTAACCCCTAGACTTGATTATGGTACTACATTGGGTATAGGATTAGGCTATCTTTGATATGTCAATCAGTGAGATCCTTTAGGGGTCAAAACCTTGGTATGTTGGGGCAGTCTAAGAATTCACTCGAGTGGGTGATCATAGTGACAAGATCAGCCCCTTTGTCGAACAAAGTGAATGATCGGGGACTGCACTGTCTCTGATGGAAACCAAAATTGTCGGTAGTCAATTTCAACTGTGTTTGAGATTTGTTTTGCAAAAATATATTTATATGAATATATATATTATGTTTTATGAAAAATGTTTGCAAAAGGTTTTAATTCCTGGGATCCATCCGAGCAGACAGTGCAACTCTGTACCTTGTAGCCGAGGGAGAGGTCCTCTCTTGTCTGGCAATGTTTGATCATTAAGGGTTGAGAGGTCAAGTGTAAGACCATTTAGGGCTTTTATACCTGATGGGATAATCTCACTTAAGACCATAGTCCTTAGGCCTTCATAAGGTCGATGGACTCAATGACCATTTAGTGTAAATGTTGGGCCCATTAAGAGCCCATATTGATGGACTCAGGGGTTCACTGTGTTTAGTAGTGAATTTGGCCAAGCTTTGTCACAGAAGTTAGGCTGAACCCATATGGCTTTTGCGAAGATCAATGTTAGGGTCCCATGCTATACAAAGAGAGCTAAGTTAGCCAACAATCAAAAGGGGACGTGAGCCTGCTTGCTTAATGGCCTAAGGCCCATAATAAACTAGATTAATTGGATTAATCAGTATGGGAGAATTTGGATAGAGATATGGGTTTGGATCAGTTGATAAGGATAAGAAGATAAGTCTTATCCACTTAAAGAGTCCAGATCCAAATAAAGATTTGGATCAGGAAGCTCTTAATTGGATTATGAGTGCAACACTTTAAGCTATATAAATAGAAGAGGGCGAACTGCTCGAAGTTTACACACTGCTCTCATTTCTCCCTCTCTCCTTCTACTCTTGTCGCCCTAACCCTAATTCGATCTCCATTCTTGAACTGATAGATATAAGTTCTGATTCTGATTTTTGCAAGAAAAAACAGATCTAATTTAGTGCTTGCCTCCCTTGCTTGATCCAAGCCGTTGGATTGTAGTTCTTGCTGAATGACTGCATTGCTAAACCTGTTTCATCTCAATCTGCGCCATCTTCAGTGGAAGCGGGTTTTAGTACCCTCTTTGGGTGTGAACACCTACTTTGGGAGCTATAGGTGTGGATTGCATATCAGGTATTGCTCTCACTTTCTTTTGGTTTCAGATCTGGTCTGGTTTGGATCAAGAACAATCCTTGAAAAATGCAATTTTTCTATAACCAGGAATACGATTCCTGGAAGGGAGAAAAGAAATTTTTAAATCACCCAGCCACCCTGCATGGTTCAGCCATCCATATGATGGATTTCCCTTCCCTTCACTGTGCAAAAGGTTACGGGCTAGTCAGATACTTCAGGTCAATGGAAGGTTGGTGAAGAATGTTGGCATGCCTCTGATAGTTGTCACACTTTCAGACGAGCTCGAGTGCATCCACTTTCATAGTAGGCCAGTAATATCCTTGCCTTAGCGCTTTTTGGACAAGTGTCCTGCCCTCCAAGTGTCCTCCATAGAGACCTTCATGGATCACGTGTAGCACTCAACTTGCTTCTGAAGGTCATAAACAGCACAGGTAGGGGAGCATAAAGGATCTCCTATACAGTCACTTGTCGATGAGAACATACCGGGCTGATTGACGCTCTACCCTCTAAGTTGCATTATGCTCTGCTAGTATGGACTCGTGGAGTAGATAACCAACAAGCAGGTCAATCTAGCTCGGTTCTGCTTGCAGCATGGGAGTGACCTATTCTTCCACCCTAACGATGATAGGTCGAGGCAGGTCTTCGATGTGCACCGTCCTCATAGTGTAGTCGCTAGTGCTGGCCAACTTTGAGAGTGCATTAGCCTCAGCATTCTCCAACCTTGGTACTTGCCGGATGAACCAAGAGTGAATGTCGGGCAAGAGTTTCGTCACTTTGGCTAAGTAGGCCATCATGGCGGGTYCCCGAGCCTCATACTCTCCATTCACTTGGTTCACAACTAGGTGAGAGTCGCTACATACCACAATGTGCTTTGCTCTGACCTCTTTTGCCAATGTTAGCCCAGCTATCAGCGCCTCATACTCTACTTCATTGTTTGATGCTTCGAATCCAAACCGGAGAGGGTACTCTAGCTTCACTTCGCTTGGCCTGTATAGTTTAAGCCCAGCCCAACTTCCCCATTGATTAGACGAGCCATTGACGTGGAGGATCCAGGGCTCCTCGTCCTAGGTTGGGGCTTCCCTGACCCGAACTGGTGACGCATTGGTCAATGCCTCCGATGTGCTGGCCAGTTCAGCCACCTCAGGGGTCGGCGTACTGAACGTGAATTCCGCGATGCAATCCACCATGACTTCAGCTTTAATGGCTTGGTGTGGCTTGAACCGGATGTCGTACTTGCTTAACTCGATGGACCACTTCATCAGTTTGCCTGAGACCTCAGGCTTCTGAAGAACATGCCTCAGTGGTCTGTTAGTGAGGACGACGATGGTATGGGCTTGGAAGTAAGGGTGTAGCTTCCAAGCTGCAATGACTAGTGCATAGGCCAGCTTCTTGATGTCGGGGTATCTTGTCTCAACTGCCTACAAAACTTTACTTATATAGTAGATGGGCCTTTGGACCTAGTCTACTTCTTTGATTAGTACCATGTTGACCATCTCATAGCTTGTAGAGAGGTATAGTCAAAGCTCGACTCCAGGTTCAGGTCAGGTTAAAACTGGTGGGGTACTTAGATATTTTTTGAGCTCATTGAACACAAGCTAACACTCCTCGGACCATTCAAAGTCCTCATTCCTTTTTATGGACTTGAAGAAAGGTAGACACCGACCAGGTGATTTAGACATAAATCAATTCAGGGCCACTCGACCTATTAGCCTTTGAACTTCTTTTATGTTCTGGGTTGGTCTCATATCTAAAATGGATTTTATCATTTTCAGGTTGGCCTCGATGCCACATCGGTTCACTATATACCTGAGGAACTTGCCCGATGTGACTTGTAACACTCAACTTTATTTCCGATAATAGGTTCAAAAATTTTGTTTACAAGGCGCTAGAAGGTCGCTCCATCATTTTGCAGTCCAAAGGGCATCACTTTATAATAGTATAGCCCTAGTTCGGTTACAAATGTTGTTTTATCCTATTCGGCTAAGTCCATCTTGATCTGGTTGTAACCGGAATAGGCGTCCATGAGGCTTAGCAACTTGTGCCCCAAGGTCATGTCTACCAGGTGCTATCCTTGGAAGGGGGAAGCTATCCTTTGGGCAGGCTCTATTGAGGTCGGTGTAATCGGCGCACATGCGCAATTTGCCATTGGCCTTCTTCATGAGGATTGGTTTTGCTACCTAGCTCGAGTGTTGGACCTCTTTAACAAAGTTTGCTGGAAGGAGCTTCCCGACCTCCTCATCAACTACCCTCCACCATTCTATGGCAAGGATTCTTTTTCTTTGTCTAACTGGCCTGACTAAAGGGTCCACATTAAGTTTGTGAGTTATAATGCTAGGGTCAATGCTGGACATTTCTCCTACTGACCAAGCAAAAACATCTAAATTACTTAATAAAAAACTTACCAGTTGCAACCAAAGTGGTTCTTTTAGGCGAGCACCAATCCGATGAGTCTTCATGGGTTCGGTATTAGAGACCAGGAGCTAGACCATCTCCTCCATCGGTGCAGCTCGTTCCTCGGTGTGCTCAAGGGGAGGTTCCAGCTTGACGTCATCCGCTAGCTTCACCTTGTCCTTCAACGCCGCGATGTAGCACTTCCACGACTCTAACTGTTCGCCCCGTACTACCCCCACTCCATAGCTCGTCGGGAACATTATTGCGAGGTAATAGGTCGACACCACCGCTCGTAGTGCATGTAGGATGGGCCGACCTAGGATCACATTATAAAGGAATGGGGTGGCGACCACAAGAAACATGTGCTCAAATCGGACTATGTTGGGCCTCGCTCCTGCTGCTACTAGCACAGTGACCCTGCTAAGGGGCGTCACCACATCTCCACTGAAACCAACCAGGGGTGTGTCTACTGGCTGAAGGTCTTTCCGTTCTAGATTCAACTTGTCAAATGCTTCCAAGAAGATGATGTCTGCGGAGCTGCCTGAATCTACCAGAATCCCGCGAACGTCATCCTTAATGAAGTAGATCACCTCCTCTACCCAAGGGCGTTTTGGCGGGTTCTCATCTTCATGCTCGAGCTCCCGAACTGATGTCTTTCCTACTAATGTGCTGCAACCTGCTATGGTCGATCCACCAATAATCATATTGATAACCCTGTGGATCGGTCTCTCTTCTACCGGCAGGTTCAGAGGTGGCTGATCGTAGTCGTTCTGCCTGCTCGACTCTGGCACGTCTCTCCGCTGCTCGGTAGGTCGGTGCTCCATTTCTCTGTTTTCGTACTTGATGAACTTCATCAGGTAACCGTGGTGGATCAACTCTTCAATCATCCTTCAGGTTGCAGTAACTTTCAATATCATGCCCGATGTCCTAGTGGAAGTGGCAATACCGGTTTGGGTTCCTATTTGTTGGGTCTCCTCATATTCTGGGTGGCCACTTGACGTACCCGATATCTTTGATGGACATTAAGATTTCACCCCGTTTGGCATTCAGTGCGGTGTAGCTTGTTCTCTAGACTAGATCGCTGACCTAATCCAGAACCCCGGGGTGGTGATCGGCTCTTTCTTGGTGACATGCTTCACCTGCTACACGGTGACCTGCTCCGTTTTGGAGACTTACTCTTTTGTCACTGGTTCTTGTTGTTGCTGCTCTCTTCCTTTGTTCTTTTCCTTTTCCTGGCTTGGTGCAGCTCTAACCGGGACCCGAGAGCCTCTTCCGCCTTAATGAACTTGTCAGCCTCCTCAAGGAATGCCGCCATAGTGCTCAGCAGATTCAACTTGAGGTGCCAACAAAGGTCAGGGTGGTATACTCCTCTCTTTGCCATAATGAGTTGCATGAATGGGTCAAGGTTCAGTACTTGAAGTCTTTCTGAATTAAATCTTTTAATGTAGTCTCTCAAGGACTCATTCTCTTTCTAGACCACATTCAGGAGGCTTGTCAAAAGACTTCGAACACTTCTTGCTGGTAACGAAGTGTGTCATGAAGAGGTCGACAAATTGCTTCCAACTTCTGATCAAGCCTGGAGTTAGAGTCCGATACCATAACCTCGTGTCTTCTTTAAGAATCGTTGAGAAGGCCATGCAGAGACTGGCTTCATCAACTCCTGTGAGCAGCATCAGGGACTGTAACCTATCTACATGATCATTGGGATCAGTGTTCCCATTGTAAGTTTCCAGGGCTGGCATCTTAAAACTCTTCGGTCTCAAGGCTGAGAGGATCTCTGGTGCTAGATGGGAAGGCTAGCTCAGTGGGATAGGGGTCGGATGTTGGGGTAACACTACTCTTGCCCAAGGTGTGGCGTGCGCGTTGATGGCATCACTTATTTGCTACCTCATTGTTGGTGTTGTTCACCTCAGTATGGGCCGGAGTCTCGACCCTAGTGTTCTCCCAATCTTGAACACTACAACGAGTAGGGAGATGGTCTTGACTACTAACATTCTCACGAACACGAGCTAGGTGTTGCTGGTTGGGGTGATAGGATGGGTCCCAGGTTGGATCCCCACCCCTTACCTTGGGTTGATTGGTTATTGAGTTCTCTTTTGTCCTGACGACGGTGCTGCTGATCATACTTGTCATGGCGGTGTTGTTCATTGCGCAATCATTGCTGCTGATCGCTTCAGTGGCTGTGTTGTGGTTGGTTTCTCTGATCGACTACCTGCCGCGGTGGTGATGGACACCGACATAGTGCTGGGTCAAGAGGTGGAGTCCGGCCCCGAGGAAGAGTTGGGACCCGAGGCAGCATCGGCCCCCGAGGAGATGACCGGCGTCCATGCTATTGGTTCAGATTCTACTGATTCTGGTGGAGAGGAAGAAACTGGTGCTGGTATTGGTATTGTCGGTACTATTGGAATTGTGGTGGGATGTTTGCTCCGAATCTGTGTTCCCAAGATTGCATTTGTAACTGCATGATCCGGACACTCTACATGAGCTCATGGAATTGTCGTGCTTCTATCCCAACAAGAACCACAGAGGGCTCTATGGTTGGGAGAGTGGTGCTCACATGAGGCATGGGTGTGCGGACTTGCTGAGTTGTGAATGTTGGGTTCTGGGCTGATGATACCCTTGGCAGAGTAAGGGGCACTGTAAACTACCCGATGGTCACAGTGGGGGTCTCCGAATTAAGTGTAGGCTGATCTTGCCCCCCAGTGACGAGCACCTCAATGTTCTTTCTAGTGCTAGAGGAAGCCATTAATGAAATTTGTAGAAAATTAAATACTAGAAGGTGAGAACTTAGATTTTTGCTGCGGTTCCCACAGATGGCGCCAATTGATTGTGTGCGATCTAGTTGCTCCTAGCTGGAGGGCAGCTCGGATGTTGGATGCTTATCTGGCTGGTCAAACTTCAAGGAGAGAAAGGTTCAGAGGACCCAGGGTGGCTTATCCGGTGTGGGCACTCCGATGCTTAAGTAAGTACTCTTGTTAAGCGAGCTAAATGCTTGAATGCTAGAATGCTAGTAAGCAGTAAATTGCGCGTACCTTGTGTCACTGGGGTTGATGCCCTTAAATAGGTGAGTTGCCATAGGTCTCATGAAACACCTCCAAGATCTTCAGTCTGCGATGTTAGGGGTCTATTCCGCACCAGGAGGTGGACTTTGTGCTAGCCAATAAGGCTTATCGAGTTCGTTCGATCCGGGCGGGATAAGGATATGACCTACAGTCGTGTGGCGTGATCCCGAAAAGCTCGAAGATAGCTGGCTCGCTTCGAGAAGATAGCTATGTGTCACATCAGCAGGTTGGGCCATCACAAGCTGCTCAGACCTCGGTCTTGGCCGAGGTGCCCAAGGTACCTGAGGTGACTTGGCCTGCTGAAGTAGCAAGAAATGCTGAGTTGATGTCCAATCAGCAGGTCCCTTCTACGTGTCCGTGCATGAATAGGTCGAGCCAAATCACCCCTCATCAGTTTTGAATGTAATCTGCATCCAAAGTAGAGTCATCCTTTGCTAATCTCTTTGTTGTAGTCCCCAATCATCACTGTTGTTGAAGAAATTAAGCAGCCCGAGGTAGAACTAACTGAAATCCCTTTGTTGCAGCATCCGGTTTTAGGCCAAAATCCCCAGCCAGGTAAGTGCTATCACCGTACTTTATAAATTTTTCTTTCGAATGATTATCTTTGCTAGTTTTCCGGTCAGTTTGTTCGGCTTTATTTTATTTTATTTTTCTTTTATTTTTCTTTTCTTTTCTTTTTCTAAAGATTAGATTAGATTGAGCGGAAAGCCAATAGGTCTTGACTTTTAAGATAGAGTCTTTATCCTCTCATCCATTCTATTAATCTGTCATTTGTTCCATTTGTTGTGTTTATGACTAATATCAATTTGTTATTTCTATTTCATTAATTGCTAATTGTTGATCAGTTCAGATTATGCTTTCTTTGTTTAAATTGTTTGAGTGTAGATCAAGTAGTGCTTACCTTGCTTACCTTGTTCTGTTTGTTGTGTTTATGACTAATATCAGTTTGTTATTTCTATTTCATTAATTGCTAATTGCTGATCAGTTCAGATTATGCTTTCTTTGTTTAAATTGTTTGAGTGTAGATCAAGTAGTGCTTACCTTGCTTCATTGACTTAAACAATTTGAATTAAGCCATTTCATCTATGTGTGGCAAGATAAAAGAAATGCTATATCAGAAGGAATATATATGATAAGAAAGAAAAGGGATAAGAGGGGTTAATGATGAGACAGAGATAACAAATAAGAGGTGATTGAATATGTTTGTAGATTAAACTGAATGTTGGGGCATGTCGATTATAGAATGTGGTATAGTTCAGAAACAAACAACAAAAGAAAAATAACAACAATAATAATAATGAATAATAAATGATTAAGAAAAATAATAATAAATGTGATAATGGATTTAATATATGAATCCGAATGGCTAGCTTGGCAGATAAAATATAGGCCAAATTTCTTAAACTACCCTTATGGTTTAGCTATTTGACTAAGTGTACCCTTACTGTTTGAAAATTAACTAACATTACCCCTACTATTTCTGACAATTGACTAATACTTCCCTTACCGTTAATGTTCGTTAACATTAAGACAAAAAAGACTATTTTACCCTTTATTCTTCTTCAAATTTTCAAAATAAAATAGGAAAAAAGGGAAATTGACGGGTTGTCGAAGCCCTCAAAATTAGTACTAGTCCCACAATAAAACATTTGTAGTAAAAGTGGTTCTAGGTCGAATCCCACAGGGAGCAAATCAGTAATCTCTTAGCCGAATGGATAAAGTAATTGTGTGGGAAAATTTAATAACTAAAATTAAATGAATAACAAACTAAACAAACAAGAGAAAATCAGTCTTACCGAATTCTGGTTCA